CGCTGCTGCTTTACTGCATATGTGGTTGGTAAGGTCGAGTGAAACATCGACCAATGACGCATAACCGATGGCCTAAACGATTTGGTGCAAACACGGAGTCTCGCAACACGTGCTTAAGGACACGGTCCTGTCATATTGTCAAGAACACAACCATAACATAATTGACACACATCCCACACCATCTCTAACCGCACTGGAACAAACCATGATTTTCTCCTCCTCGCACATTGCTGGAATTGGCTATCACAAAAAGGTCCTTTAACAACATATGCGGGCGACATTGCGGAAACAGGCCTCTTTGGACAATCGACAGAAGTCAATACATACACAACCATTTCTATCTGAAGGACCCTGCCAGTGCGCGCGAGTCCCACTTCGGGCTGATTGACGCGCTCTGCTTTGCGTGTAGGCTGACCACTTGTACTGAAACACGCCCATCCGCACCAAGCGTTGTCATGTGCGAGCATCCCGATTAAACTGCTAGAACTGACATCACTTCATGAGGCACAGTGGGGCCCGTCAATCCCCGTGGGACGGTTGTTCAATCTGTGCGGCGCGAATATATGTTCAAGGTGTCATAAGCAGGCGGAAGAGCTTCGCACGCACGCTGGTTCGCACACGTTTGGCTGTTGACGCGTTTGAATGTCACTGGATCTCGTCAATCTACATTGCTGAATTTCGGCATGCCCGTGCAAGTGCACTGTAAATTCATAAATGCGCCGTAGCAGAAACGAACTCACCGCAATGCGCCTGTACAACCTCCGACTCCGATTCCATACTCTACACATACATTTGCGTGTCTCGGATTGTGGTGGTTGTTTAAACTCACTCTGAAACGCGTCTGCGTTGTTTCTGCATCCGGCATCACTTGTTTAAGTGAAACACCTTCAGAGGTTGTCTCTCAGATAACTGGAAAACCCGACGGCTTACCACCCTGCCCGCAGAATATGCGAGTTGTGGCACATTGGCGCCGTAGCTTCCATGGACACAACCGCCTTTGTGTCATTGCGTGTGCATGTGGATGTGCTGGCGAGCACTACTCTTTAAAAACGCGTCTGCGTGAACATGTTGATGCGCTTTTCCCTCCAAGGCAGCTGGCGTCTGCTTCATTTCTGGGTAATGGGCCGCAAGCCCGTGGCGGGCCGTTGGCAATCCACTGCTACCAGTCCGCGTTTTATGTTTGATTTCGCGGGCGCCCGCGGGATCTGTCTTTTCCAAATGTAGATTGTTGGACGGCTGGCAACTTGGGGCCTTTGACGTGGTCCGCGTGATGAGCAGCCGTCGATCACAGCACGGGGCATTATTACCGCGCGTCTTTCGGGATGGCACGTGCGCGCATGCGTTCACATTTCAAGAGTTCTACAAAGGGTCGAAACACAATGAACTGTGACATGATGAATGCGCGCGTACTGTATTTCTGGCGGACAGGCGGAGCAGTCGGTGGTCTCTTGCGCGGCTCTGAATATGGATGTGCATGCTTTCGCGAAGTTGACTGGATTGTCATCCGTGAACGGGCGAAACGCGATGTCTCGTATCTGAAAACGTATATGACGTATTTCACGCGGGCGGGCGTTGCACCCCCTCCAAAAAAAGTGTGGTTGGTAACGTGTGGCATCGAAAAATGATGCGATGTGTTCTTTCCATAGCTGTTGAGCCGGCCCAGCACACACACAGACACATACACACACGTACACACATGCTCACAGAAATCTGAACACGTGCTTGTCTAAAGGATTAGATTCCCAACGATCCTGTGGTTTTGGGTCCTCGTCTCAAAAAGACGGCGCCCCACGCCCCTCTCCTCCAACTCCTCCTCATCATCCTCCTCCTTTCTGCCCCTGCCCTCCGCGCCAGTCAACCCACGAGAAGCCTCGCACGAGATCCCGACGAGCATGCAGTAGGCTTCATACCTACAGCCCAGTCGTCACGGTGGCGGGATGGGCCGAAGGCCATTAGATGGCTCAACATGGCACAGGATAGACAACATGGCTTCCAACATGCCTCCAAGATGCCCACGGCGGCCACAAAACAGCTCCACGTGGGCACGGAGCCTGTCAACGATACCCCCACGAGTCAAACATCTGTCAAATATAGCGTGACTTCTCGCAGTTTCCCTCTCGATAGGCCTGTGAGATCCCAAGATGGCGCCAAGAGCAACCAATCGAGCTCGGATTGGTGCCCTGGAGGGCTCCAGGACAGCCATCAGAGCTCCCAAGAGCGCCAAAGGAACATCCCAAGAGGGCTCCAAGAAGCGACTGTTCGGTCTCCGACGGAGGTATTCCAAGCAAGGACGCCCCGTCTTTGAAAAACAATGCTGTTGCTTGATATTGGCCGCTCGGGGGCATCCTTCGGATGCTTTCGGGCCGATAGTACTCAAAAATGGCCCCGGACGCCTGAAACTTGCCTCCAATACATCGTAATCTTGTCCAAGATGGGTCAAGCCCCCTCCAGCATGCTTCCAAGAGGCACCAAGACGGCTCCAGGTAGCCTCGAACTTCCAGGGGCGACAGCGATCGAACAACATCAACCAATAAACCAAACATATGTTCCCCTTATGTGCGGTTTCTCGCCTTTTCGCTGGGCTCCGAAGCTTCCAAAATTGCTCCAAGAGGGCATCAAAATGGGTGCAAGAGGCTCACAGAGAGAAAGATCCGCGTAAGGCATTATGGTTGACTCGTATCGTCGTCGTCGTCGTCGTCGTCGTCGTCGTCGTCGTCGCCTTCTTCCTATCCGATGTTCTACCTTCTCCTCCTCCTCCTCTTCGTCCTCCTCGAGGTGCCAATAACCTATACAACATGAAGACGTAACTCATACACGTGTCCTACGTCCTTGAGAACCACGATGATCATACATGCGACTGTCCATCCCTACAGAGCCTGAAGGGGCAGCCGATGCACGTATGCTACACATGCAACGAGGTCGATCTGAACAGCGATCGACGCTGACGTGAAAGTGCTGTGACGAGGGTCGCTCATCAAATTCCGATGCCGAGTTTGGGCAACGGTCTTGGCTACAGCCCAATACGGAAGCTAACGCTCAAATGTCCGCGCAAGACAGGCAGGCCTCAAAGTCAACTGACCCGGCAGCGTCAGTTGCATCCCCAGTAGCGGCGGGGCCCAATAAATCCGCGCTCACCTAACCCTGTCTGCTCCTCCTCATTGTTCCCCTCCTGCTCTTGCCGCTTCCCTGGTATTCCTCCCTGCTCCTCCCGTGGGTGATGGTCTGCTACTGCTGCTTCTCCTCAAAGGGCCGAGCCCGCTCTGAGAGCCAGACTGCTGACCAACGGACGGTAGCGCAATCAATAAAAAACAATGGAATTCCGTGTGGCAGCGCAGAGCGACCTCTCATTCCGCGCATTCACACCAATCGTCTCCCTCTCCATCAAACGCCGCCCTTGCAGGACCCCTCCCCCTTGGCGGGGGTCAGGACCAGGAAGACTCGCCATCTCGGGGGCGGCTAAGAGGGGGCGTCCAAGAGGGGTGTGTGCAAATCATGGCCCGAGGCATGTGCGCGGACCAGGGGGGGCCAGGGAACGTATTGAAATAAGAAGAGGCGCCCCGAAATCTGGGGAGATCTCATGGCCCCCGCCATCTTATCCACCCCCCCTAGTCATCACCCCCTCTTTGCCGCCCCCGACCCTCGCAAACTCCGCAGCTCTGCGCGCAACTCCATGTCGCGCCCGACCGTGCAGAGCTCTGGCTGGGTTGAGGGGTAACGATAGGGGAGGATAGGGATAGGGGGGGGAACATCGACCTGGAATCGGCGATACATCGCCGATAGATCGGCGATAGGCGTCCGATAATGAATCCGCACCTTCATGGGAGGGTTGGGCTATCGGGCCCCTATCGGCGATCAGTGGGCGATTGGGAGTCGATGCATCCCCCCCCATGCCTGTCCCTCCCCCCCCCCTATCGTTGCCACTGATGGGTGCGGCCGCGGGCGTGCTGCGATCGGAAGAATCGCGGGCGCCCAACTCAGCGCCGCCGACGAGGTAGAGGAGGAAAGGTCGAGAGCCGCGGGGGCGTCACGACTACGAAGGCCCGGGCCCACGCCCTGCCTCGAGCCCGCGAGGGCCACTGTGTGAATACGGCAGGCTCGTGTCGTGTGGACCCCGGCGTTGGTTTGTGAAACCGCGTGGATCGTTCAACCTTGAACGATCGGCGGCTTTTCGATCGCCCGATCGTTACATACTGGCCGATTCTGGGCCACTGGCGGCGTTCAACCTTGAACGCCCGCGGCGGGGTCGCCACCGGTTGACACGACGCGAACCTACGTAAAATCATTGGTGGGCGGTCAAGGTACAATGCAGGCCAGCTCTTTGTTCTGAGCCGCACGTGCTCCGTGCCACGTAGATCGCGAAACGATGCCGTCCACGTGGCGAACAGCAGCAGTACCGTCCAAGCCTCACGATAAGCAGCGGGGGTCTCTAGACTCTAACCCGAATTGCGACGATCCGTTCTTCAGATCCGCCGGATGAATTAAGCTTCTTCTGGAAGTCGTGCAAACCCTCCAGATACGAGAGCGGTCGGCCGCCCCCCGAAGCCGCAAGGGCAGCAGGGGACGACGAGCCGCGCGTGGACTTCGAGGCTGCCCGCAGATGGCCCCCCTCCCACACCGACCGAAGCCCGCCAACATGGAGGCCGCCGATGGGCCCGGCTCGTGCCCCTCGGCGGCCCCTCCGCCTCGTCCTGCCCTCTCTGAGCAGGGACCGGCCGTCCCCGCATTCCTGCAGGCCTGCCACGGCATGCTCCCAGAACTCCGAAGAGGTGCTAAGAACGAAAACAACGTTCTCAGACCATAAGCCCAACGTGTTAAAACACGACAGTCCCAGCCAGACGTGTCCCAATAACATTTCGTGCAGACCACAGCAGGCTCTCAGAACATCCTTTGGTGGGCCTATATAGGCGAGCTGGGACGCTTCGCCACTGCTTGATCCCTCCCTCCCCTCCCCCCATGCCGTCGACCTTCGCCCTCGTCAGCGGCCCCGGCCAGGCTCCTGCTCAGTCGTCGTAGTGCCCGGGCTGCGCGCTCATGAGGATCGCCTCGAGCCGCTGCCTGCCCTCGGCGCTGAGGTCCAGCCACGCGGCTCCGCGCACGGGCGCCTCGGCGAGCTCGTTCCCGCTCCAGGAGCAGATGCTGCTGCTGCTGCTGCTGCTGGCGGGCTGCTGCCAGCCGCCCCAGGAGCCCACCAGGTCCAGGTGGTCGCACAGGGAGAGCCGCTGGCCAGGCTGGCCCTCCCTCGGCCCCGCGCCCGAGCGCGGCTTGCGCGCCTTGGCCCGGCCGCTGAAGGCCTCCATCTGGGCGAACTTCTCCTCGCCGTGGGGGAAGTGGCAGAAGTTGCAGTCCTCTGGTTGACCCAAAGGGGGGGGTCCAGCGACGAGGGGGTGGCGAAATAGATGTGGTGCAATAGATTTGTGGGGTTGCAAGAGATCTGGGGTGTGCAATACATTCCGGTGCGCACATGTATAGCTGGATTTTCGCGTGCAACACACCAGTTGCAACACAGTGCAATACGAGCCTCTGGCGCCACACATCTGCAATCTACAGTTGCCCGAAGTCTGTTGCAGCAGCCTCTTTCAGCTGGACCACCTTTTGGGTCACGAGGAAGTCCTCGCCGCGGGGGCACTTCTCCGGGGCCCCGTGGAAGCGGCACGGGCGGCACTGGCCCTTGAAGTGGTTCTTCGAGCCCCTCGAAGATGGGCCTGTTTTCCACCACCACCACCATAAGTTGGATGGGGGGAGGGGGGAGGAGGACGAGGAGGAGGAGGACGAGGAGGAGGACGAAGAGGAGGAGGACGAGGACGAGGAGGAGGAGGAGGGGGAGGAGGAGGAGGAGGAGGAGCACCCCCTCCCCCTCCAACTGATGGTGGTGGTGGTGGAAAACAAGCCCATCACCTCGAGGTCGTGCGGGCCACTGCCGGCGGCGGCGGCGGAACCACGGCGCCGAGGGCGCGGTCCCCGCCCAGGCCCCAGGGCTCCATGTGGGCCGCGCCCTGCTGCGGCGCCAGGGTGGCGGGCACGGCGACCATCTGGATCGGGAGCTGCATCACCAGCATCGCTTCGAGTAGCCCTGAGACCCTCGCGTTGCAATCTCCTCACGCTGGGGGCTTTTTCCCTCCATGTCGGGCCCTGGGGCCCTCACAGGTCGAGCCGGCTCGACAAGTGACGCAGACAGATGGGGTCCGTGGCTCCGGTCGAGACGTCTTGCGATGTTGCATTTGTTTTGCAACGTCGGATCTCAGGGAAGACGAAGCCAGGACGAAGATAAAGTCGGGTGAGGATTCATCGAGAATCTCTGAGATCCAGCGGCTCTGGAGGATGTCTCGGGCGCCACGGCCTTCTCAGAGCCCTCTGGAACGCTCTGAGAGCGTTCCGGCACGCTCTGGAACGGGTTGACCCTCGTCCTGGCCCCGTCCGATCGAGATTTGGGCGACTCCCCGCCGGCTCCGCACTGGACCAGGTGCTCTCCCCGTCCGCCTGGGCCGAAGAACGCTGCTGCGGACGGGTCAGACCCGAAGGGCCCCTGGCCGTCGTCGGAGGCCGCCAGAGGCTGCCGCGGGGGCCCGTCGCACCGAGGGCCCCACGGACGCAACGCGCTGCCGCCCCGCCGTGAAGCTCGGGGCCGCGCCGCGTGGGGCGCGCTCGTCTTCGCTCCCCGGCGGGCGGCCTGCGTGCAGAATGTCGCAGCGGCCTCCCCGCAGCCCCCGCTCGGCCTCGCAGGTTTGTGGCCCCTCCCCGCCACCGCTCCCCCCCAGATATATAGAGGGCAGGAGGTCCCCCCCCCAGAACAAGCACCCCGACGAGCGGAGCCGTTCCGAGAAAGCGCCCAGGGCCGTCCAGTAAACGCCACTTGTCGGAGTCTGGGTGGCTCTTCCCCCCTTGACCAGAGGAGCAGCAGAGGCGCTGCCGCGCCGCCAAGCCCCACTCGACGCTGCACCACGTCGGCCGGCCCCGAGGCCCGATCGCCGATGCGGGAGGGCGGAAGGGGCGGCCTCCTGCAGCCCACGGGCACGCACCGCCCCGCAGCTGCGGATAGGAGTAGAGGGGCGGGCGCGGGGCGTGTCGCGGGATGGGTCGCGGGTGGGTCACGGGCGGGTCGCGGACGGAGACGACGACAACGCAACGCCCACACAACGAGCAGAATACGACGAAAGGAGCGCCACTTCTGCCACGCACCCAGGGGCAGTGAATGGCCGTTCGGCCCCCTCACTCTGAGTGTCGACAGTGGGAAGTTAGGGCGCATGTGTTCGCATCGGGATATCTCCGAAGCGATCTTCACGTTTCGAGCCTCGCTGCGACCGTAGCCCTGTCGAGAACGAGGCGTGAGGACATTCCCCCCTCCGATTCGTATTGCTAAAAGGGGGTGTCGATCCAGAGCGGCGGTCGCGCAGCCCATGCCGACACCACTGGTGCGATTCGTCACTGCGCTCTTACCTAGAAAGCGCGCTCTAGCAGCCCACGGCGCGCGCCACAATGCAACATTTTTGTCGAGCGAGAGCCTTCCAGGAGCGCAGGAGGAGGAGGAGGGGGAGGAGGAGGAGGAGGATCGAGCAGACATCAACAAAGTTGTAATGTCGCCGTCGCCGCCGTCGTCGTCGCCGTCGTCGCTCTCGCCGTCGCCGCCGGCGCCCTCGCCCTCGCCGCCCTGGTCGTCGCCGTGGCCGCCCTCGCCGCCTCCTTCGTCGACCTGCAGTACGCCGTCGCCGTGGTCGTCGCCACCGCCATCACAACTTTCGCCGTCGCCATCGTAGTCATCGTCGCTGGCGTCGTCGTCGACGCCTTCGCCGGCGCCGTCGTCGTCTGACGTCGCCGCCGTCGCCGTCGCCACCGTCGCCGTCGCCGTTGTGGCCGCTGGTCGGCGGCGAGCCCAAGGGGGAGTGCAAAAGGGGCGGGCCCTCTCGGAAGGCTCGGGCCGGCCCTCTGAGGGGTGTTCTAAGTTCTCAAAAAAGCGGAGGGCCTCTGAGCCCCGCTGCCTTCCGAGAGGCCCACCCGCGACCCACCCGCGACCCACCCCGCGACCCACCCACGACCCACCCCGCGACCAACCCACGACCCACCCCGCGACCAACCCCGCGACCCACCCGCGACCCACCCACGACCCAACAACGACCCACCCGCGACCTACCCACATTGGTTTATCGAAAAAATCTGCGTCTGCGGCGGGCTCGTTGTATAATTTGTGAAAATGTCGCCCCTGCGGCGGGCTTCTCCAGAGTCTCGCAAACTGTCGACGTCCCCACCGCCCCCTCACTCTTATCCGCATCTGCGGGGTGCTACGGATAAAAAACAGAAGAGTCCCACAAATGGGACGGGGAGCCCGCCGAAACCAGTGGTTTCGCCTGAGACCTGCTCGCAGTTGACCCAGGAATCACGCACTCGCCTCAATGCTGGCTTCAGTTTGGGCCGGCCACGATCCCTGGTACACATACACCTCTCCCGCCTGCACCTCTTATTTCTCTTGGCTTCCTGGCCAAGCTTCTCCGACTCCTCGACCAGCCTTTTGTTCACCTCTGCTGCTGTCAGGGTGCTCTGCTGGGGTGCTTCTTTCCCAGCGAAGGAGCCCAGCGGCAGAGAGAGGCGGTCCGAGATAAATGCAGCAACTGCAAAAGGACAAGGCCGTCCCAGGAAAAAAAGGAGGGGAAAACCAGCACGGCCAGACCGAGGAGCCCGAGGAGGGGGGGGAAGGGGGGGGCGGGTGTTGCTAGAAGAAGTGCCCCTGGCCCAAGGTACCCCCAGGATTCTCGGGGTGGCCCAGGCGGCCTCCAGAGCACCCCTCACGAGGCCCAGAGGACCCCAGGGGCACCAAAATTGAACGAAAACCTAGGGGCACCTTGGGCCAGGGGCACTTCCAGCAACACCCGAGGGGAGGGGGGGGGGCAGTCGCGGGGGGCGGGGACGGGCCCCAGGGCGGTCCTGGCCGCCGACCTCGCACTCGCCCCACAAGAAGGATGGGGGGGGAGGAGGAGGAGGAGGAGGAGGAGGAGGAGGAGGAGGAGGAGGAGGAGAGGAGGAGGAGGAGGAGGAGGAGGAGGAGAGGAGGAGGAGAGGGAGGGGAGGAGAGAGAAGGCGGAGGAGGAGGCGGAGGAGGAGGAGGAGGCGGAGGAGGAGGAGGAGGGGGGGGCGAATTCGCGAGCCTGGTCAGGCCGCCCCGCGCTCGCAGCGCCGCGCGGCCACGGGCCTCGTCCCCGCCGGCCCGGACCGTGGGCAGCAGCGGCTCCCCGCGCCGGCGTGCCACTGGTACGGTGAGGGCACTCTCGTTGTCGCCGTTCGTCGGACGCGGGCTTGCTTGCAAACAAAGAATTCGGCTGGCCCAGCCGCACGGCTGACACAGCAGCGAGGAGACAGGACACAGGCTGACACCAGCGAGAGCCGCTTTGGGGCGGGGGCTACGGTGAGGGCATTGGATGAGGAACCATTGGGTAAGGAATTCGGGGTCTGACAGCCTGATGGAGCACCAACGGAGGCTTGGCCATGGACATCACCTCCGCCCTCATCAGATCAGGGTTTCTCCAGGGTCTGGAGCCACATTCCTCAAACAACACCCCCACCGTACTGCCGCTTCCTCCCGACTATGATGTTCGCGTGGGGCCGCGCCCTCCCACACGGGTCGTTTCGAGGGCGCAGAAACCACAAAAACTAAACCCCAGATATATGGATTTCGATGAAAAACTGAAGGCCAGGGCGAAGTTCATATTCGGCCCCCAAGCCACATCAAAACGATAAGGGAAACTTAAGTTGGCAACGACTCCGCCGAAAACCATGGGTGGTGACAATGGGAAAGAACGCGTCGGCTACAGAAGCGGCGAAAAGTGTTACTGCGCCAAAGCGCACCGCCCCAAAACATCGACCAGGCCAGGCGCGATCATAAATCACAATGTGCTGGAAGCACCCGGGGCTAACATGAATGGGCACAGATCCCAGACCACTGAGCAAACGCGCGCGCGTGACGCGTCGATACAACAATGGAGGCGCGGGGCAGGGGCAACCGTTTTTGGCACGCATTGCAGCTGATGTAGCGTGTACTGTGAAACCTCAAAAACGAAGCGCATCGCATTCATTCCCGAAAGCGCGAATAAACGCTCAATGGACGAAGCCGCTCCTGAAAAGGACCCGAGGTGTTAGAAGTTAGAAGGAAGCCATAGATGAGGAGGTAGGGGAAGTAGGTGGAGCCCCACGGTGGAGCCACGAAGCAGCAGGACTGAGGATGAGAGAGGGGAGGGCGAAGAGGGAAGCCGCCCCCCTTAGAGCGGCCAGACTCGGACAAGGGCGAGGTCATCCTGTCCTCCTCCCCCTCCGCCCCCCCCCGGCCCCATCGCCGCACGGGGCGGTGGTGGGGGGGGGAGGGCGAGGAGGGGGGAGGAGGGCGACGACGACGACGACGACGACTGCATCATGTCGGTTGTCAGTCGTCGGCCTGCTCGACTGGTCGCCCCGCAGTCGCAGTCCGCCCCGCAAGACGGGGGGCAGGAGAACGGCGACGATAAGCGAAACAAAATCCCTAGATAAAAGAACTCTGACATCCATTCCCAGACCCCAGACCACTCCTGGACAACGTATCACCCCGAAGTTGTAGGGCACGGCGGGGGCCTTGGATAAGGAAACAAGTGGATAAGGAATCCAGGGTCTGAAAGCCTGTCGAGGTCAAATTGTGGATCGGCCATGGGTATCGTCGACGCCCTCATCAGGTAAAGACTCCTCCAGGGTCGGAAGAGCTTCCTTCTCCAATGCCCCCGACGTACACTACAACTTCGGCCCTGGCCCGCGGGATCGCCGTCCCCTCTCCTGCCCCCCTGGCGCCCGACCCCCGGTCGGACTCTCTGAGTGCCCCCGGGTCGGCCACGCGGAGGCGTCAGGCGCCAGGCGGCGCCAGGCCTCAGGCGCCCGACGCCGTCGCCGAGCCCGCGTCCCACGCGTCGAACTTCCCGTTGGCGTCGGCCTCGCGCAGCGCCTCGGGGCGGGGGGAGGGGGCAGGGAGGAGGGGGGGGAAGGAAGAGGGGGGGAGGAAGGAGGAGGAGGGAGAAGGAGGGAGGAGGGAGGATCGGTATCGGTATCGGTA